TATGTCTAGATTTAACTGACTACCAAACAAAAGTCAGGCCAGATCTAGGAAAGACCCCTTTCAAAACAGGATGTCACTTATTTATAGATGGTTCCTCCCAGGTGATTGAGGGAAAAAGACATAATGGGTATTCAGTAATCAATGGAGAACCTCTCTATGTATAAGAATAGAGTCAAGAAAATTGCCTAATAATTGGTCTGCCCAAACTTGTGAACTGTTTGCACTCAGCCAAGCCTTAAAGTACTTGCAAAACCAGGAAGGAACCATCTATACTGATTCTAAGTATGCCTTTGGAGTGGCTCATACATTTGGAAAAATTTGGACTGAATGAGGCCTCACTAATTGTAAAGGTCATGACCTTGTTCATAAGGAGTTAATCATCCAAGTACTGGATAACCTTCAGTTTCCAGAAGAAATAGCTACTGTCCATGTCCCCGGACACCAGAAAAGCCTTTCTTTTGAAAGTCGAGGAAATAACCTAACAGACCAGATAGCCAAACAAGCTGCTGTTTCCTCTGAAATGCCTATGTTTCACTTAACTCCTTGTTTTCCTTCCCCTACTGCAATCCCCATTTTCTCTTCCATTGAAAAAGAAAAATTAATAAAGATAGGAGCCGGAGAAGACCAGAAGGAAAATGGCTGTTACCAGACCAAAAAGAAATGTTATCCAAGCCCCTTAGGGGAGATCTAGTCTCAACTACATCTGAGGACACACTGGGGACCCCAAGCCATGTGCGATGCAGTTCTCAGGGTCTATGGATGTATAGGAATTTACACTCTAGCCAAACAAGTTACAGACAGTTGCTTAATATGTAAAAAGACTAATAAGCAGATTCTAAGAAAACGACCCCTTGGAGAAAGAGATCCAGGTCTAAGAGCATTTCAAAGTGTTCAATTAATTATACTGAAATGCCCCCAATTGGTCATTTAAAATACTTATTAGTAATAATAGACCTCTTTACCCACTGGGTAAAGACTATCCCACCCTCAAGTGCAACCACCAGTAATATAGTTAAGGCATTAATTGAAAACACTGTACCCAGATTTGGACTAATAGAAAACACTGATTCAGATAATGGAACCCATTTCACTGCACATGTCATTAAAAAGTTAGCCCAGGTACTAGACATAAAATGGAAATACCATATCCCTTGGGATCCCTCGTCCTCAGGAAGAGTGGAAAGGATGAATCAGACTCTAAAAAGTCATTTCACTAAATTAGTTCTAGACACTCAATTGCCATGGACTAAACCTCTTCCTATTGCCTCGTTAAGAATCCGAACTCCTCCTCGGAGAGATATTCGCCTTTCCCCTTATGAGAAGCTCTATGGATTGCCCTATTTATACTCCACTGCTGACATTCCTACATTCAAAATAAAAGATCAGTTCCTCAAAAATTATATACTTGGTCTATACTCTACTTTCTCTTCCCTTAAGACTAAAGGTCTCCTAGCACAGGTGCCACCCCTGGAGTTTCCAGCACATCAGCGTCAGCCTGGAGATCACATCCTCTTAAAAGGTTGGAAGGAAGGGAAACTCAAACCAGCTTGGGAAGGACCCTACCTGGTGCTCCTAAATACTAAGACTGCAGTGTGAACAGCAGAAAGAGGACGAACTCATCACACCAAGTCAAAAAGGCACTGCCACCTCCAGAATCATAAACCGTCACTCCAGGGCTCACCCCAACCAAATTAACTTTAAAAAGGGCTTAATAATCACTTGTTTATTTTCTCTTTTCAACAGAAGGTCATCTTGTCATCAATGTAACTTGGGCTAACCATCCTTTAACCCTTCAGTCTGATGCTAGTTCAGTCATCCCGTGTGGAGACAAGCAAGCTCAAAGGAAGCTGTCTCATGTAGATAAATACCTATGTCCATACCATAAAGAGTCAACCAAGCATAAGTAAAGAGCCTTAAAAAGTCCCTGTGGTGACTGGGCAGATGTTGTGTAAACCACTCAGTATGGAGGGTGGACAGCCAGGCCCCCTTTTTCAAATAAGTTATGGGGACTAAAACAGAAACTCCAACTAATTCATGGTCCCACCCCACCAAATTGTAAGGCACTGCAGTGTAACCCCTCATTGCTAATTATAGATAATTCCCAAACAATGGCCCAAGAACCCTTTATATTCAAACGGTATGGATTAGGAGCAAATGTTACAAAACAAAATCCCATAAAAATCTCTAAGGTTAGCTAAACCACTGGTTAACAATAATAATAAAAAAAAAATCCATATCTAGAGTACGGGAAACAACTGGAATCCAATGCCCTCCCCAATGCCCAGCGTCCTCCTGCCATCTCCAAAACAACCCAACCAAAGTAACGGTTGTAAAGGTAAAAAATTTAAAGCAGACTATAGCTCTAGAGACAGGATATCAAGATGCAAATGCTTGGCTAAAATGGATTAAATATTCCATCTGCACTTTAAACAGATGCGATTGTTATGGTTGTGCGAACGGTAGACCAGAGGCCCAGATTGTCCCTTTTCCACTCAGATGGTCTTCTAACTGACCAGGCATAAGCTGTACGGTAGTTCTCTTCTAAGACCACACAACCTGGGGCGACAAATCATTGCAAGCTCTTTCTCTGCTGTTCCCTGAAGCTCAGCACCCTGAGGGTCAGCCCCTGAGGGCCATCAGCTTCCGTCTCCCAATGCCAACTTTACTTCGCGTCTCTCACACAACAGGGAGAAAAACTGGTGCTCCTTGGAGCCTTAACGGGATGGAGTGAGCTTAAGTCCTTCCAAGAGCTTACCCATCAGTCTGCCCTTAGTCATCCTTGAGCAGATGTATGGTGGTATTGTGGTGCTATTGGGACACTCTGCTGAGTAACTGGAGCAGAACTTGTGCTCTAATTCCATTGGCCATCCCTTTCACCCCGGCGTTCCATCAACCAGAAAAGACAGAAACCAAACACTGTAAAATAAGAGAGGCCCCTCATGGGTCTGTTGACTCCCATATTTATAAAGATTCCACTGGAGTCCCACGAGGAGTGCCAGATGAATTTAAGACCCCAAATCAGACAACTGCAGGATTTGAATCCACGTTCTTCTGGTGGTTAACTATAAATAAAAATGTGAATTAGATAAACTACATTTATTACAACCAACGACGATTTTTTTTTTTTAGATGGAGTTTTGCTCTTGTTGCCCAGGCTGGAATGCAATGGCGTGATCTAGGCTCACCACAACTTCTGCCTCCTGGGTGCAAGCAATTCTCCTGCCTCACCCTCCTGAGTAGCTGGGATTACAAGCATGCGTCGCCACACCTGGCTAATTTTGTATTTTTAGTAGAGACGGGGTTTCTCCATGTTGGTCAGGCTGGTCTCAAACTCCCGACCTCAGGTGATCTGCCTGCCTCGGCCTCCCGAAGTGCTGGGATTACAGGCATGAGCCACTGCGCCTGGCCTACGATTTGTTAATTATACTAGAGATGCTCTTAAAGGGACAGCTGAACAATTAGGACCCACCAGTCAAATGGCCTGGGAAAATAAGATAGCATTAGACATGATACTAGCGAAAGAGGGTGGAGTTTGTGTCATTATCGGAACCCAATGCTATACTTTTACCCCTAATAATACTGCTCTGAGAGGGACCATAACAAAAGCACTACAAGGTCTTACTGCCTTATCAAATGAGCTAGCTAAAAATTCTGGACTAAACGACCCCTTCACAAATTTAATGGGAAATTGGTTCGGCAAATGGAAGGGACTAATGTTCTCAATCCTCATATCTCTTGCCATCAGAATAGGGTTGCTTATTCTTGTAGGATGCTGTGTCATACCCTGTGCCTGAGGATTAATACAAAAGCTTATTGAAACAGCTCTCCCCAAAACTTCCCTCAATCATCTTCCTCCCTATTCCAGTGAGCTTTTTTAGAAGACCAAGTAGAATAACAGAGCCAAACTATGTTAAAAGGGTTTAAAGAAAAAATACTATAAAATATTTAAAGGGGGGATTGTTAAACACAGTAAGAAATTCTTCTTCAAAGGTTTAGCTTGCTGAAGTTTCCTTGTCCTTTGCTCCCTGCTTTCAAGGCCAGACTTCCTTACTCTCTGTGTTCCCCCTGCCCTGGTAAACAACCTTCCCACCAGTCATTATCTATAGAGCCCACATTCCACATCTGCTACCCACTCTGTGAGTTACCCTGCCCATCACAACGGCTTCTCCTGGCAAAGTTGATCTTCCCACCTTCCCACTGGTGTAGTCACATTCCTGCACTTTTCAAGTTAGCCAACCGGGTTCAACTTAGGGATTGTGCAGTCCAACTCTAGCCCATGAAGTCAGGACACAGTAGCAGGGACAAGCGGCGTTAGAGATAAAAACCTCTGCTTTCCTTTGTTCGTGGTGCTCTTGTGGCGACCGAACCTATGAGGAGCAACCTTCTGCAAAATTATATTTGCCTTGCTGAGAGACCCTTTGTCCTTTGTCTCAGTGCTAGTTCTTCTTTGCGGCACCAAGCATTTGTTTTCAACAATTATATATTTAAGGAACCTTTGATTATGGAAAATTTCAAGAAGTAGAGGGAATAGCATACTAAGCCCTGTGTTCCCATCTTTGAGTTATCTACATTTCATTACCAGTATCTTTGGGGTGCCTGAGGGAGGTTTCTCTTTCCTGGAGGGCTCCTGTATTACTGCCAATGTATTTTCCTGACTGTGGTCAGAAACTGAGGCCCCCTCCTACCTATGTACCCTTCTATCCCTCTCTGAAGCTTCTGCAGAATTCCCAGCATGACAGAGCTTGCTGGAAGCATGGTATGCTCAGAAGCTGCTGCTAAAGCATGTGTGTGAGGGGGCGGGGGCAAACTTCTTGGTCCTGGCACTTCCATATATCGATTTTCTTTTCTGGCTGATCAGTGGGAGGAGTGTGTGTGTATGCATGTGTATGTGTGTGCGCGCGTGCGCGCGTGTGTGGGTACATGCATGTGTGTGTGGATGCATGCATGTGCTGTGAAGCAGGGAGACCAGCTTTCCACTCCTTCTTGTTTTCTCTCTGCAGTGACCTGGGAGCTGTCATTTCCCTCCTCCTCTGGGGCCGACAGCTTTTTGCATTGTACTCAGGCAGTGATGTCACGGATATCCCAGGTCAGTCTTTGGTTGGGTAGGAGCATGCATTCCTGGCACTGCCGCATCCCACTCTTACTCTCTCGGGTCTGCATTCTTTCTTTGAGAGAAGAAAGTTTCCCCTTCTTATCCTGACCTCTGAGCTTTCAGGACTGCCAGGAACATTAGGGTTCCTGCCAGAAATGAGGGGAGCGTGCACTTCTGTTGGCTTCTATTTGGGGCAGAAGGAGATTGATGTGCAGAGCAGCTTCCTCTCATCTGATTTTTCTTTTTTTTTTTTTTTTGAGACGGAGTCTTGCTCTGTCGCCCAGGCTGGAGTACAGTGGCACGATCTCGGCTCACTGCAAGCTCCACCTCCCGGGTTCATGACATTCTCCTGCCTCAGCCTCCCGAGTAGCTGGGACTACAGGCGCCTGCCACCACGCCCAGCTAATTTTTTTGTATTTTTAATAGAGATGGGGTTTCACCGTGTTAGCCAGGATGGTCTCGACCTCCTGACCTCGTGATCCACCCACCTCGGCCTCCCAAAGTGCTGGGATTACAGGCTTGAGCCACTGCGCCCGGCCTCATCTGATTTTTCATAGGTCTCTGGGAACAATTTCCAAATAGTAAACTCTCTTGCTTCTCTCTCTTTGCAGATGACAGCTTCCTGAAGCCCCCTATGATCGCAAATGGCTACGTGGAGCACTCGGTTCGCTACCAGTGTAAGAACTACTACAGGCTGCGCACAGAAGGAGATGGTAAGACGTGGACAACTGTCTCTCTGTGCCCTACATACAACCCCTGCTCTGACATTTCCATGACGGGCGGTGCTGGGGTGATTTGCCAGAAAGGTCATTGCTCTCCTTGGAGCCAGGAGATTTAGATTCTAATAAGCATTTTGTTGTCAGTAGCTGTGGCCCTTTGGGCAGACGAACTTTTGTCAGCCTCAAGTTTTCTGTTTTGTTAAGGGGAGGCCATGCCATGCAGCCTACCTATCTCAGAGTCAGATTTCCATCTCCAGCGGGAGATGTGGGAAAAGAAGGAACGCTGATGACGACAGGTCACCCTCACCTAGTGAGTCCTGCTGTCCTGGCACTGCTCTAAGTGCTTCATATTTATTTGCTCACTTAGTCCTCACAGTACCCCTCAGAATAGAGGTTGTCATTCTTTCTTTGCTGATAAGGAAACAGAGTCACAGACAGGTTGAGTGTCTTGCCCAAATTCAGGCAGCCTCTAAGACGCAGTCAGGATTTGAACCCCGAGCCCTCCGTGTGCTGCCTGGCTGTGACCAACATGACCACAGTGTGTTCTGCTGGGCGTAACTGGAGTCCAGGCACTTAAGTTTCCAGCACAGCACTCTTTCCCTCCACCTCATATTTTCTCTCCTTTCTCCCTTCCTATCTGCCCCCTTTCTTCTTCTTCTTCTTTTTAACTCTTCTCCTTAAATGCATGCCTTCTCACTCTGCTCGGGGTGCAGACTTGACTTTTCCTTTGGCTCATTTCTTGCCTTTTGTTTCAGGAGTGTACACCTTAAACAATGAGAAGCAGTGGACAAATAAGGCTGTTGGAGATAAACTTCCTGAATGTGAAGCAGGTGGGTGCTGAGCACTTTCCAGTGCAGGCAGACTTCCGGGTGGGAACGTCCTAGAGGCACAGCCTTCCAGCGCGGCTTCCTCTGAGCACACAAGAGCCAGGAGGAGGGATGTGGGAGAACCGCAGCTGGCCAGGGAGAGACTTAAGCAGTTAGGTGATGACTCCCTAAAGGTCACCAAGGGTCTTGTTTATTGGGGCCTGAAGGGCACTGGCTGAATCCACTGTCTACACTGCCCACAGATCAGGAGAGCCTGTGCATACAGAGAACCTGCTAGAGAGCCCTGGGTGTAAAGAGAAGCAAGCTCCAGGGAGAACAAGTCAAGGGATAACATACAATCTTAATCCACGGAAGCCTAGAAGGAGGCTGGACGTGGGCTGGGACTGCTGCTTCTCGTTATTAGTAAGAGTTGTTGCTCTCTGCTTTCCCTCTAAGAACCAGAGGCAAAGGCCCAGCCTCTTCTGCTGTGAGTGGTGCAGAACTCCCAACCTGCCTCGTATTAACTGCAACATCTACAAAATATGAGCTCCAGTCAATGTTGCTCTAGATTCCTCTTTCTTCAGAGATAATGAATTATTATAGTTCCTAGCCCTTTCTTCTTCTTTTTCTTTTTTTATTTTTTGAGACAGAGTTTTGCTTTTGTTGCCGAGGCTGGAGTGCAATGGTGCTGATTCCTGATCTCAGGTGATCCAACTGCTTCGGCCTTCCAAAGTGCTGGGATTACAGGCGTGAGCCACCATGACTGGCCCCTAGACCTTTCAATGAATTTCAGGGAATTGTGAAAATTCCTTTGTTGGGATAACCGCTTAAATATAATTCACCAGCCAGGGCTCAAAAAACTCTATTTCTAATTTCCTTAGTTAGAAATAGAGTTTTTTGTAATGTAAACAATTTAAAAAATTATTTTAGAACTGCAACTATTGGGAATGAGATGAGCAGGTGACAAGGGCAAAGCATTTAAATCTTTGTAGTTTACGCAGCAGTGACAGCCACCCATGCTTTTACCCCTCTTTCTCAGATGGAAAGGCCCTTGCACATTTCCACTCACGAGTGTCTTGCTCTCCTTGACAGTGTGTGGGAAGCCCAA